CACTGGCTGACGAGACCCAAATATTTCATCTACGATTCCAGCCGGACGGTTTCGCCTGTCATGTTTATGCATAGGCCGGGCGGTGGGGTCCCTCGCCTCTTCTTGTCGTAGAACCAGATGGCTTCCGACTTCGCAGGGGAGATCCTCAGGCCCAGTCCGCGCACAGCACGGGTCGCGCAGACCGTTGCGATTTCGCCGATGCGCAGCGTCTCGTGCCAGCCACGACCCCCGACCAGGACCAGGGTGTCGTCCGCATAGCACACCATGGCCGCGCCTGGGGGCAGCGGGCATCGCAGTACCTCGTCGTGCGCAATATTCCATAGGATCGGTCCCAACACCGAACCCTGCAGGACTCCGCGCTCGACGGGTCGCCTTTCCTCTCCTTCCTTGCTGAAGTAGCATATCCATCTGTCATCGAGGTAGGCTCGGATCAACCGGACGAGGTAGCTGAGAACCTCGAAGTGCTCCAGAGCCGTCACTATCCTGTCCCATGGCATGGAGTTAAACGCGTTAACGATGCCCAAAGAAACCGCCAGCGCCACGTCGTTCCGGTAAACCATGTCCTCTGCAAGCGCTCACACGCGTTTGACCGCGTCAAACGTCGAGCGTCCCTTCCGGAAGCCGTACTGGCTTTCGTGCCAACCTAGCACCTGACCCGCTATGTGTCGCTCCAAGCGGGTGGCGACTACCCTCTCGGGTAGTTTGCCGACCTCGTCTAACAGGCATATCGACCGGTACACTGACGGCGAGGTCGTCGGTTGGCCCTCTTTACGGAGCAAGACCAGCCTCGCCGTCCGCCATGCCCGGGGGTAAACTCCCTCTTTCAGGCATCTTATGTAGAGGCACCGAAGTCTGGGGGCCATGACCCCCATCACTTCCCTCCAGATCCGACCCGAGATTCCGTCCGAGCCCGGTGCCACGTCGCGGGAGGCCATTCTTCTAATCGCCTCTCATATCTTTTCCTTCGTGACTTCTCAGTCGTCCCTCCATTCCAACGGCCGTGT